CGTCAGACTCCCAAAGCAATGAGATTACAAGCATGAGCCACCGCACCCAGCCTGTTACTATTAATTTTAGAGACAGGCTGGATTGCAGTGGCTCTATCCTAGTTCACTGTAACCTCAAACTACTGAATTCAAGAGATCCTCCCACCTCAGCTTCCCAAGGTGCTGGGATTACAAGCGTGAGCCACCACACCTGGCTTAATGACAGAACAAGGAAGCATTAGGTACAGTAGTAAGCACCTGTAGCCCCAGCTACTAAGTCTGAGGCAAGAGGATTGTTGGAGCCCAGGAATTCGAGGCTGTAGTGTGCCATGATTGTGAATTATCACTGCACTCCAACCCGGGCGACATATCAAACCCTGTCTTTTTTTTTTTTTTTTTTTTTTTTTTTTGAGACAGAGTCTCACTCTTGCCTGGGTTGGAGGACAGTGGCACTATACATGCTCACTACAACTTCTGCCTCTCAGGTTCAAGCGATTCTCTGGCCTCAGCCTCCCAAGTACCTGAGACTACAGGTGCCTGCCAGTACGCCCAGCTAGTTTTTGTATTTTTGTAGAGATGGGGTTTCACTATGTTGATCAGGCTGGTCTTGAACTCCTGACCTTGTGATCCACCTGCCTTGGCCTTCCAAAGTGCTGGGATACAGGTGTGAGCCACCGCACCTGGCCCAGCCTGGTACTTAAGAGGGTAAGACTAGGGTTCCACTGCCTGGGTTCAAAGCCCAGCTCCACCACGATGTCACCTTTGGGCAAGTCATTTAATCTCTCTTTGTACTGGGGTGGGTGTGGGCTGGTAAGAATGCCTCCCTCACAAGGTTACTGGGAGGATTTTGTGAAATGCAACCATGGACGCCCTGCACAGCCTTAGTTGAGTCCGCAGTAAACGTTTGCTATTGCTGTCACTATAATCCGGCCCCCTCCTCCAGGGCTTTCTCCATAAAAAGACTGTCCTTTGAGTGGAAATCATCCCAACTGGAGTTTCAAAGACACTTGAATGACCAAAACTCCAACATCGTAGGTCTCCTGGCTTCTTGACCAATCCTGCTGCCCTCGGAGGAAGAAAGGGGCCTGACTTGCACAGTGCAAACAAACGGACACCAACATCTTTCTGGAGGCCCAAGAGCTGCATTCAGCATCCTCACTCTTTCCATGAAATAAAGCTGCTAAACACCCCAGGCATGTAAAGCACTGAAATGAGTATCCCGGGTTGCTCTCTGCCAGAAGCCAGGACCACATAGTGGAGCAAAAGACCTTGAGCTGTTAAGCGCCATGACCTAGACACGCCGGGCTGTATTTTTAGCCTCTTGTGCACTGTTTCCATCACCTGTGCTGGGCTTTCAGCTGGAAAAGAGAAGGTGGGGGTGGAGAAGGCTAGAGGGATGTTTCTTACCGCAGCCAGTGCCAGGAGGAGCTTGCCAGGATTTCCGAGTCCTGTTGTACAACAGGGCTATTTTCATGGGCGTGCAACAGGTATATTAACATAGGCCCCCTTGCTACTTGCTTGGAAGGGCCTCATACATGCTTTATCTTTTTATCTTCTGCTGTCACTGTCTTGAAATTCTTTTTTTTTTTTTTTTTGAGATGGAGTCTTGCTGTGTGGCACGATTTTGGCTCACTGCAACCTCCACCTCCCAGTTTCAAGCAATTCTTCTGTCTCAGCCTCCTGAGTAGCTGGGATTACAGGCGCCTACCACCGCTCCCGGATACAATTTTTTGTATTTTTAGTAGAGATGGGGTTTCACCATGTTGGCCAGGCTGGTCTCAAACTTCTGATCTCAGGTGATCCACCTGCCTTGGCCTCCCGAAATGCTGGGATTATAGGTGTGACCCACGGCGCCTGGCCTGTCTTGAAATTCTTAATAAGTTTGGACAAAGGACATACGTTTTCCTTTTTTTTTTTTTTTTTGAGACGGAGTCTCGCTCTGCCGCCCAGGCTGGAGTGCAGTGGCGGGATCTCAGCTCACTGCAAGCTCCGCCTCCCGGGTTCACGCCATTCTCCTGCCTCAGCCTCCCGAGCAGTTGGGACTACAGGCGCCTGCCACCGCGCCCGGCTAGTTTTTTGTATTTTTTAGTAGAGACGGGGTTTCACCGTGTTAGCCAGGATGGTCTCGATCTCCTGGCCTCGTGATCCGCCCGTCTCGGCCTCCCAAAGTGCTGGGATTACAGGCTTGAGCCACCGCGCCCGGCCAGGACATACGTTTTCATTTCTCACTGTGCCATGCCAATTATATGGCTGGTCCTAAGGAGTGCACATGACAGAGAGAGCCAACTGGAGGAGGGGCTGCTGCCAGCCCAGGAGGGGTGCCTTCCCACAGCAGGCAGGGCAGACCAAAGCTACTATCACAGGGCATGGCTGCCCAGACTTGGCCAAATAAACCTTGTTTCCAGCCTCCTGGGTGCCCTTCCTATTTTCTTCTCTGAAACCTGAATGAGATGTCGAAAGAACCTTGGAAACTGTAGAGAACTGTGTCCTGCTTTGCTAAAGTCTTTCTCTGGCATCCTGTTTAAAGTAGCCCAAAGGTTAGCTGGGTGTGATGGCGTGCCTCTGTAGTCCCAGCTACCCAGGAGGCTGAGGCGGGAGGATCATTGGAGCCCAAGAATTGGAGGCTGCAGTGATCCATGATCTCATCACTGCACTCCAGTGTGGGCGACAGAGGGAGGCCTTGTCTTCAGAAAAAGAAAAAGAAAAAAAAAATCCACAGAGCCTTCAGTTAACATAATTTTCTTGTCTTTGTATTACTTTTTGTTCTCAGGAATTTGCGTGTTTTCAGATTGACTAGAATGTAAGTTCCAAGAGGAAGGTTTGGTCTTGGTGGCTGTGTCCTCAGCCCTCAGCAAGTTCCTCGCTGAATATTTGCTGAACAAAGGAAAGTTCGACTTTATTGTTTGCTTTGGGCTGAGGGCTTCACCTGCATCTTCTCATTTCATTCTCTTCAAAGGCACTGCTGTCTGGGAGGGCACAGAAGTCCCAGAGTAAGGGTTCTCAGGTCCGGTGGAGAAGGTGGGAAGGGCCCAAAATTGTGGAAAAGGGGAAAGCTGGACAAAAATGGGGATCACCGGTGGTAGGAGGTGGGGGGCTCCCCAGGACCGAGGCTGGCTGGGTGAGGGGATGGTGGGTGCCCCTAAGCTCCAATAAGAAGATCAGAGGGTCCTTGAACTCGGGAGTGACACATGAAAACAATAACTGGACAAGATTCTTCTTGCTACAGCGCTGAGTAGTGTGGGTGGAGAGGGACAGAGATTGAGAGGCCTCGTGGGAGGTAGCTGCGCCCTTCGGGCCCGGACCTGAGAGCAGCCGTGGGTGGAGAAAGGAGTATGGGGGAACGCGGGCTCTGGGAGTGGGCAAGGGGGCGGCGCCCGGGGGTTGAGGGGGCCCAGGGGCGAGTGTACCTAAGGCGGGCCTGTCCCGCCCAGCCGCGCTCTGGGTGCGGCGAGTCTGCACACTGGGGCAGATGTTCCCGCCGCCGCGCCGGGCGCAGGTCTGCACTTGCAAGCCCGGGACCAGAGACTTGAAAGCTGCCGGCGCGCCGCCCAGACCTGCCCCGCCGGGCGTCACCGCTGCGCTTTAGGCGGGAGCTGTAGGAAAATCCCCTCTGCCTTGGGGGAGGGCGGGGGAGGAGGACGGCCCACGACCGACCCCGGGTGAGGCAGGGAAAGACCTTGCCGGGGTCGGCGGGGAGGAGGGCAAAGGGCCTACCACACGCGGGCCGAAAGTTTAAGCAAGCCGCGCGCTCTCTGATGCCTAACATCCCAGGCTGTAGGATAAGCAGCACTATCCCATCCATTTCTGGTCGTTGCACTGGGCGTTTTACTTGCTTCTATCTCATCGACTCCTCTGAAGGCCTTTTATTATTCCTATTCTGCAAACGGCTGAGCCTCGGACACATCAGGAAACTTGCCCTAGTTGAAACTGGCTATGTGATAAGATACGGAACCAGGGGGTCAGTATGTGGCTGCAAACTTGGGGTGGAGAAAGGAATTCAACATTTGCTGAGCTCCTACTGTGCGTGCGTAAAAGCTTCCATGCTTTCGTTTTGTTTTGTTTTTTGAGACAGGGTCTTGCTCTGTCACCCAGGCTGGAGTGCAGTGGTGTGAACAAGGCTTGCTGCAACCCCGACCTTCCGGGCTCAAGCGATCCTCCTGCCTCAGTCTCCTGAGTAGCTGGGACCACTGATTTATTTATTTTTTCCTGTAGAGATGGGGTCTCACTGCTTTGCCCAGGTTGGTCTCGAACTCCGGGGCTCAAGCGATTCTTCCGTCTCGGCCTCCTCCCAAAGTGCTGGGATCCCAGGATTTGTTAGCCACAGCGCCCGGCTCTAGGCGTTCTTATTTAGTGCAACCGCTCTGGGGAGTAGTAGCTATTATCACCTCCATTTAACAGATGAGGAAATTGAGGTAAGAGCTATTTTTCCTTTAAACATGTCCAAGATCTTACAGGTGACCAAGTGGGATGTGAACTCTCCAAAGCATTCTTTTTTTCACCATTACGATGAGCTAAGCAAGGGAAAACAGCTTGCAAACTGCTGTTGTAATTATTATCGCTGTAGCTGAGCTCGCGTGTGGGTCACGACCCGAGTGAGGGTGGAGGAGGGGTCACTGGGAGCCCGGCCTATTTCAGCCCGGCCAAACCGCTTGGTGACTTGGAGGCCGGGCCGAGGCCCCGCCCTCACCTGCTGATCCCACCCGTGAATGGGACAAACAGAGGGCCCTGAGGGGCGGGCCCAGGTGAGGCGAGGGATGGGCGGGGCCTGATGCGTGAGTGGCAGGAGAGGCACGCGGCCGGGGCGGGGCGTGCGCGCGCGGTAGGCTCCGCCCTCCGGGCCTCTCCGCGGATCCAGGCGGGCCCCAGGCTGCAGGGGCGGTGGCGGCGCTGAGCTGGGCGGGCCTGGGCGGGGCGGCCGGGCAGTCGGGGCGGGGCTACACTCGGGCCCCGCGTCCTGCTCCCATGGCCGCCCCCGGCTCCCCGCGCTGCCCCCTTTCCCCCGGGCCGCGCCCCGGGGCCCCGCACTGACGGCCCATGGCGCCGCCCGCCGCCCGCCTCGCCCTGCTCTCCGCCGCGGCGCTCACGCTGGCGGCCCGGCCCGCGCCCAGCCCCGGCCTCGGCCCCGGACCCGGTGAGTGTGAGCGACCCCCGCCGCCCGCCCTGAGCGGAGCACACTCGAGGGGCGACAAGAGCCGGCCGGCCTGAGGGCCCCCTCCCTCCCACCTCAGGACCTTTCGGGCCCCTTCCCAGGGCCCCTCGGCGACGCCCCTCAGGCTGGGACGGTCCCTCCCTGGGACCTGGGCTCCCCCCAGGCCCGTCATCGACGCCCCCGGGCCGGGTACTGTCCCCCGGCTGCAGGACCCGGTGCTTCTCAGCGACGCCCCTCAGCCCAGGACGCCCCCTTCGCCTTGAGACCTCCAAGGCCCTCCGCGACGCCCCCCGGGCTGGGACATCTCTGTCTTGGGATCCGGGACCCGCTGCCCGAGTCCCTCAGCGACCCCAACCAGGCTGGGACGCCCCCTCTCCCCGGTACCTCCTGGGATCCCATCCCAAGTCCCCAGCGACTCCCCCCCGGGCCGGGGCGACCCCTGCTCCCCGGTACCTCCTGGGATCTCGTCCCAAAATCCCCAGCGACTCCCCGCGGGCCAGGACGCCCCCTGCTTCCCGTTACCTCCTGGGATCCCGTCCCCAAGTCCCCAGCGACCCCTCCCGGGCCGGGACGACCCCTGCTCCCCAGTACCTCCTGGGATCCCGCCCCAAGTCCTTCATCGACGCACCTTGCACTGGGACGGCTCCCCTGCTACAAGAGGCTACATCCCTCTCTGCAAGACCCTCAGCGACATCCCTCCCCCGGGCCAAGGTCCCCTCCCTGAGCCTCACTACGACGCCCCCGCGTCCCCCAGTCCTCTCCTCCCTCCTACACCGGTGGAACCCGGCGCCTCCCCGCACAGAGCAGAGCGGAGGCGGGAGGAGCCGGTGCTCAGCCCCTTTTCCCGAGTCCTCGGCTGCACCCGCTTGGCGGACATTGTAACTTCTGCCTCGCGAGGAACGGGATGGACTTGTTCGCCCTGCTAGAGGCAGGTTAGGGTCCTGGGACGACCTTGTACCCAGACGGACGGGACGTGCCCTCTCTCTCCGCTGGGCCGCTTTGAACTTCCGTATGACTTAGGTGATGGCGCAGCAGGGGGAGAGGAAAAAGGAAGCGGTGATGGGAAACTTCTTCCCTACTGAGCTTAGGGTGCTCTTCCTAAGGGTGCAACGCCGAGCTCCGTGTTTCGGTCACCCCACACCTTAGACAGGTCACTCACTCCCCAGGCCAAGGCCAAGGCCAAGGCCAGGTCTTCCCGAGGGGGGGCTCTGGTCCAGGATGAAGCTTGGACTTTGCTTAACTTCCACACGCAACTTTGTAGCCAAATCCTTTCTGAAGTTGAAGAGAAGGCAAGAGGGCGTTGCATTTCTCTGCAGGTTGTTCGGATGTTGAGCATAGGACATTTGTGAAAGGGATGGGAAGAGTTTATTACCAGTCTGCAAGAGTAGGAAAACCCGCCTCTGGGTTCACCACCCAAAGTCACAGACTGATATTGGAAAGGATGGGATTTTGCTGGTGTAAGAAAACTCAGAGTTGCTTTGTTTACTTATTGGCTTGGATTAGCGAAAAAGCTAGGACTTGGTATTGTCACTTACTGCGTGACTTTGGGCCATGCCTTCAGCTCTCTGAGCCTCAGTTTCCTCATCTGTAAAGACAGGATAACTTTGCAGAGTGTTGTGAATATTAAATGATATACTGTAGGTAACATACCCACATATAGGAGGGAGTCAATAAACATATTTTAATAATACTTTTATAGGACCTCACAGTTCATCGAGTGCTAGACACCTCATTTACCCTGGGAGTGCTAAGAGCTTTCTGTCTGATTCATTTCTGTAAAAGGCAAAGCTTGGCTTTAAACTGGTAGAACTGGGGTCTCCAAGTGTTGTAAACCTGAGGCTCAGTGAGTGGTTTCTGAGTGATCACTGCCTTTTATGGGACTTCTACAGTATGATCGCTTCTACTGTTGTGAGGAGTGACGGACATTCCGAGAGCCAGGATATGTCAACATAACTGTAACCTAGTAACCCCTTAGCTCCACTTTGCTATCTGTGTGGTCAGGATTTAATGTCCCCTACAAAGAGAGAGGTATGGGTGGAAATAGACTGGTTCCCCTTCTGGAAAGGGCAGAGTAGTAGCTCTGAAAAGCATCAAGTGAGCCAACTCTGCTTAAGTTTGTTGGAAGCTATTCTCTTCCCAGATATCTTTGCTTTTTTAAGATCAAATGCAGCAGCTCTTATGAAGTTTGCACCCCAAATTTTGGTGTACTTTTATTTAGGAGTCTGGGGTAAGGGCAAATAATCATTGTGAAATGATTTGTGATAAGTGGCCCAAGTTCCCAATTCACTGAGCCTTGCCAGCTTGGTGTCTTACCGTCCTGGTAACTCAGTGCTTTGCTTTTTTGACTTTTCCTGCCTAGTTGCAGAAGCAGTTTTAGGGAGATACCACATGGTCTTCACCAACACATCCTGTCTAGATCCTACCCACTAGCTTTTAAAATCTTTTCCAATAAAACACACACACACACACATTTTACTCTGAGGATATGCCAAACTTGCCATTTTATATTTTTTGATACTGTAATTTTCTCTAAAATTTTGTGGATGGAAAAAATTATTTCAATATTTGTATTCTGCGCAATTTTGTAATATTTAAATTACTGGTGGTTTGCATTTTTGAATGCTGACTTTATAAAAACAGTTAGCTCATTCCCCATCAATCCTACTTCTAATTACAATGTGTACCCAACCCCAAATGATCTCCCTTTTCATTCTTCCTCTAAGATTCTCTTCCTTCCTTCACAACTTATAAGAAGGAAAATAGAAGGTAATGGAATCTAGACTTTCCTTCAAGGAGGAGTGCAGCTAGGGCCATGCGGTCGATGGGTTCTCTGTAGTGGGTCCCATCTGGAATGTATGGAATTTATGGTCTACTCACTTGGGTGTTTTACTACCTTTAGGGTCTATCAGATGCGCATCAACAGAGCTTCTCCACTCAGGTTATGTTTGCTGTGAATACCTTTTATAAGTTTATAGATTGATGCTCATTCTCCTCTAACTCCTCATCTGGAATTTGCCCCACTAGCCAGTAGTGTGTTTGCCATAAAACCTATGAGTTCAGTTAACAGCTAGAGTTCATACTGTCTACCAATTCTTGGCCTTCTTGGGGACTTCATTAATGCTAATAGAATTATCTGTAAGCAATATAGGGGCTGAAGCAGTGAAGGAGTGAAGGGTGTACACCAGTTACTTGTATGCTCTGAGTATTTTAAGAAACACCATTTCGACGTGGTATCAGAGACCTCTGATATTTTTGTGAAAATATATTTTGGCCCCTAGGCAAACTATTTAAATCTTTGAGGCCAGGCGCGGTGGCTTACGCCTGTAATCCCAGCATTTTGGGAGGTCAAGGCAGGTGGATCACCTGAGGTCAGGTGTTCGAGACCAGCCTGGCCAACATAGTGAAACCCCATCTCTACTAAAAATACAAAAAATTAGCCGGGCATGGTGGCGGGCACCTGTAATTCCAGCTACTTGGGAGACTGAGGCAGGAGAATTGCTTGAACCCAGGAGGCGGAGGTTGCAGTGAGTCGAGATCGCACCATTGCACTCCAGCCTGGGCAACAAGAGCAAAACTCTGTTTCAAAATCAATCAATCAATAAAAAATATTTGAGGTAGGCAATGAGCCCTTTTATAAATCCTAAAGCAAGAAAGCATTCCTTTTAGGCTCACTACTCATAAACAGAAAGTTGATACACTCAATATAGATATTATTGATACACTCATGGTTTAACATAGTTAGACCAAAAACAATAAATTAGTAAGATGAAATACATTGTTTTAAATAGCTTCACAATATACAGATTAGGGATTTTTGGTGATGGGGAGTATACCATCCTTAATTTAGAATTTTTGAGTATGGAAATGTCAACTGATAATCTAGGTCAGGTATGGGCACACATTTTTTGTAAAGGGAAGATAGTAAATAATACGAGATTCATGGGACTTACACTATCTCTGTTGCAATTATTCAACTCTGTAGGGCAAAAGCAGCATAGACAAAAGATAAATGAATGGATGTGACTATGTTTCAGTAAAACTTTATGGACACTGAAATTTGAATTTCCTATAATTTATTTATTTATTTATTTATTTATTTATTTATTTATTTATTTTTAGGGACGGAGTCTCACTCTGTCACCCGAGCTGAAGTGCAGTGGCGCAATCTCGGCTCACACTGCAACCTCTGCCTCCCGGGTTCTAGCAGTTCTCCTGCCTCAGCCTCTCAAGTAGCTGGGATAACAGGCGTGCATCACCATGCCTGGCTAGTATTTTATTTTTAGTAGAGATGGACTTTCACCATGTTGCCCAGGCTGGGAATTTCCTATAATTTTTATGTTAAAAAAATACTGTTCATTTGATTTTTCAAAACTAAAATATTTTTTAAATTATAGATTTTTAAAGTCTTAGCTTGTGGGCCATATAGAAGTAGGCAGTGAGCCAGATTTGGGCCACAGGCTGTGCTTTGCCGAGTTCTGTTCAAGGTCCATGTCTTCTGATTTTTTTCAGTGTTCACTGGTGACAAGGAGGCTTGATTTTGGTGAACGAATGAAACTTTTACCATTTACTGTTAACTAACTTTAAGATACATATGGGAGAAATGGTTAAAATGGTAAATTTTACGTTATTTTTTACCACAATTTTTTTAAAAAGATATGTATGGGGAGAAGTTCATGCACATACATTTGGGTCTTTAATAGGACTTTTAGACCAGGCGCAGTGGCTCACGCCTGTAATCCCAGCAGTTTAGACGACCCAGGTGATTGGATCCCTTGAGCCCAGAAGTTTGAGACCAGCCTAGGCAACATAGTGAGACCCCATCTCTGTGAGACCCCATCTCTACAAAAAATAGACAAAAATTAGCCAGATGTCGTGTAGTCCTAGCTACTCAGGAGGCTGAGGTGGGAGGATCACTTGAGCCTGGGAGGTCAGGGCTGCAGTGAGCTGAGATTGTGCCACTGTACTCCAGTCTGGGCAACAGA